TTCTAACCACCACGCTCTTACTATGGCTCTAATAGCTCTGACCCCAGGGCAACTTTATTTATTAACATAAAATTAAAATAACATTTCAGTACAAATAAAATATCACCACAGCCATCTCCAGCACCAAGGCTGCTTTTGTTGTATTTTGTTGTTAATGGCCACTTGAGATTCAGATGTTAAAATTCAGTTTTTGTTTTTGCTCTTGAAGTGCTGTGGATTAAACTAAGGGCCTGTTACCTGTAAGCAAAGAACACTACTGAGTGACATCCCAATCCCACAGATGCTCATTTTCTTAACCAGTTAAAATAGTTTTGCTTGGGACTTGTACTGTTTTACTGTGGCCCTGCCATGTTGAACATGAATAACTACCCCTGAAAGGTCGTCGTGGAAGTTTTCTTGTTGTTTCCTTGCTTTCTTTTTTATTTTGTTTTGTTGTGGGTTGTTGGTTTTTTTTGGGGGGGCGGGGTCCTTATTTTTGAGGCCCTTTTTTTTTTTACATGTATTAAAATAATGTTTTTAATTTCTTTTCAATTTTGATGGAGTACATATTCATGTAACTCCCATCACATTTGACCTAGAACATTCCCAGCATCTTTAAAATTTTACTGTGTATCTTCATGTGGATTCCTCATAGATCTTTCCAATGATTGATGTCCTGTCCCTGCAGTTGTACTTTCTGAAACTTTTTTCTTGCATGTGAGATCCCACTTTATAATCTTTAGGTTTTCTTTCTTTCCAGTAGCATGTTCTTGAGATTGGTTTAATTGTACAGATGTGCATTTAATTTCTTTTTCTTCCTGAAAAATAATTCTGAAGTGTGGATGTACCAGTTTACCTGTCCACTTGTTGATGGAGCTAAATGGAATTAGCCAACTAACTAGTTGGCTTTCATATTACTGTGTTGTTTTTTTTTTTTCCAGAATCTCTCTGTTTGCCCTGAAGATGAGTCAATTATCATGTCATCTTTTGTTAACACTATGACTTCCCTCAGTGTAAAACAAGGTAAGTAAGGGCATGTTGTCTTTCAGTTAGAGACTTAATTTGATTATTAAACAGAAAGAACTTTAATGGTTAAATGTTTTTATGTTTGATATATTTGATCTGTTGCCTTTGTCTTAATTTAGTCATGTCAGAGCAAGGATTTCCAAATTGGGTTTCAGATGGTGTTCCTAAAAAGTTTAAGAGTCATTTTGTAATGCGTATTACTTAGGAGAAAAGAGGCACCTGTGACAACCAGGTGACATGGAGTGCTAAGCGTTGTGATGTGTGTGGCTCTGGCCCACCTGTGACAGCAGTGCATTGGTGTCAGGTATAGCGTGTTTATCTAAGCCGGGCCTGCTGGGGACCTCAGTCCTAGCTCTACATAGTGGGTTCCAGTGAGGCACTGATCAGGAAGCCAAGTAATAATAGTAATTCAAAGTCTGTACCAGTGACTTTATATATGTTGTCCCATTTAATCCACAACATTAAAAAAATTACTACTTTTATTTGTCAGATTTGGAAACTCTGATTTTCCCTAAAGGGTTAAGAATTATTTATAAGTAAGAATAGTAATTAGAGGTTAGGAATGCCAATCTCAAAAATTGGTGTTGCACCTATACCAGCTGGCCATTGTTTTGAACATTCTGTTCCAGTAGATTGATGTGCTTTGGTTTGTATTCTTTTTATAAAAAGATGTCAAAAACCCTGAAAAGATCAGATCGATAACTGTATTTTAGTTCCATCAAGCTTTATGCTTAGTATGTAGTCAGACACCTACTACAGTGTTGTGTAGTGATGCTTGGCTTGTGTGGCATTACCTTATAGTAGGAGCTTTAGTGTGCTAACACTGGCCTGCTCTCTTAGGTTGGCATTGTAAGGACAAGAAGACTCAGAGCTCTTTGATAGAAGCCTGCTTCTCTCTTGGCAAGTTGCCATCCTTTACAGGATTTAAGAAGTGCTGAAGTCTTAGCAACTAAAATAAAATTTGTTGGTTTCATTTTTTTACTTAGAAAATTCACTTACCGTACAACATCCTAACTTTTTCAGCGTATTGTACAGTTAGGTATTCATTGCCTAAGCACTAGTCTGCAGAGCTTTTTCATGTTGGAAAATTGGACTCTGGTACTTAAACTCCATTTTCCGCTCCTACAACCCATGGTAACGCTTCTTCTACTTAGCATTTTTTGTAAATTGCTCTACAACACTTCTTAGTGGAGCCATGTAGCTGTATTTTTGTGGCTGGCTGCTTTTTTTTTTTTTTTTTTTTTTTTGAGAGGTGATTTTGTATGTTACTTGAGGCATCCTCCAACTCTTTACATACTCCTTCTGCCTCAGCCTCCAAAATACCTGGGATTTCAGGTGT